GGGCAGGTCGAAACAATGAGGGCCTGAAAATGGCCCTCCGTTTCAGGCTGAAAACTCTGGGTCTGAAAAGACCCAGAAATAGGCTGAAACGAGGTAGGGCCTGCAGGCCCTCGTTTTTCAGCATCCAGGCTGAAATGAACGGGGCCTGTAAGCCCTAAGTTTTAGGCTTTTAGGCTGAATGTCCGGGACGGGCCCTGCAGGGCCCGTGTGGTTACGCAGTATGCCACAGTCCCAGTCCAGTCCAGCAACTACCATGAGGGACTGTGAGCACCATGGGACGATGGAAAAGGGCAGACCAGCGAGTTACAGAAGTATAAATCAAGAGGCAGCGCCCAGCCATTCATTCATTTCCTGCGTAAGCCATGCGGAAGCGCTGCCATAGCGACTTGTGCGAGGTGGTCTGCAGTGAGCCCGAGGACGAAGTGGGCGAGAAGAAGTTTAGCCATAACAATAGGGTAGTAGCGGCCATAGCCGCCATAGCTGTGGATGTGTGCAGGTGTGTGTGAGTGTACAGAGTGTGATGTGTGTGGGATATCCAGGGTGATCCTGAGTGCAAACAGCAGTGTCGAGTGAGTGACGAACAGAGAGTTGTACAGGCGATGTGCCGCCATAGCCAGTGGAAGTGAACTTGTATCTGAACTGAGTTCTTGGTACTATATCTCGGACTTCTGAGTGGGCGCTCGGCGCCAGTTTGCTGCGCAACCTGTTTGCATACATGTGAAGTGTGAATGAATGCGAGTCTGATTGCAATTTGCAGCAGCAGCAGCAGCAGCAGCAGCAGCAGCAGCAGAAGAAGAAGAAGAAGAAGAAAAATCCAGCAATTTGGTATATAACAGATTGGGCTAGCAGCCGCAGCAGTGTGATCGCAATGTGCCTTACAGAACCCGCCAAAAAGCTATCAAGAAGAAGAAGAAGAAGAAGGAAAAAGAAGAAAAGAAGAATCCACCAAAGAATTATTTGGTATGATGGATGAGACTAGCAGTAGCAGCAGCATGGTCTCGGCGAGGTAATTCACCAAAGAGCTATTTGGTATAATGGATGGGGCTAATGGGGTGGTTCCAGAGATTATGTGATCAGCAGGAGCAGGTTTGTCAAACGTAATCTCCACAAGGTGCCTTACAGATTCCTTCAAAGAGCCTCTGTGAGTAGCAGCAGCAGCTTTGTCAAACATAATTCACCAAAGAGCTAAGTTTTCTTTTGGTATAATGGATGGGACTAATTGGGTGGCTCCAGAGATTCTGTGGTTGACTTCATCTGTGGCCTTGGTGCTCTCCTCCCTCAGTCCTCTCCCTCCCTTCTCTCACTCCCTCCCCTACTTTTCCTCCTCGTCCTCCTCGTCCTCCTCGTCCTCCTCGTCCTCTTTTCCACTCTTCCTCATCTTCCTCCACTTCCTCCTCTGCTTCCGCTTCTTTCTCGCCCTCCTGTTCTGCTTTTCTATTTGTCCTCGCCTTCTCCTCTTCCTCCTCTTCCTCCTTTCTCGCCTCTTCCTCCTCTGCTTCGTCTTCCAGTTTCTCTTCGTTTTTCCTCTTTCGTCCCTGTTTTCCCTCTGTTTATCCTCTCCTTTTCTTCCAATTACTCTTATTCTGCCATTTTTCCTACCTGTTCTTCCTCTTCCCCCTCTTCCTCTCTTTCCTCTGCTTCCTCTTCCTCCTCTTCTGCTTTTCCTCTTCTTCCTCCTCTTCTTCCTCTGCCCCCTGTTCCTTTGCTTCCTTTGCTTCCTTTGCTTCCTCTGCTTCCTCTGCTTCCTCTTCCTCCTCTTCCTCCTCTTCCTCCTCTTCCTCCTCTTCCGCTTTTCCTCTTTTTCCTCCTCTTCTTCCTCTGCCTCCTGTTTCTCCTCTTCCGCTTTCCTTGTTCTTCCTCTTCCTCTCCTCCAGTTCTTTCTCCTTTTCTCTTCTTCTTTTTCTTCCTCTTATTCCTCTTCCTCTTCCTCTGCCACTTTTCCTATTCTTCCTGTTCTTGCTCCTTTGCCTCTGCTTCCTCTTCTTCCTCCTCCTCTTCCATTTTTCCTTTCCTTCCTTTTCCTCTCTTCCTGTTCCTCCTTTCCTCTACCTTTTCTTCCTCGTACTCCTCTTCCTCTGTCGCTCTTCCTATTCATGTTCTTCCTCCTCTTCCCTCCTCTTCCCTCCTCTTCCTCCTCTTCCTCCTCTCCTCCCTCTCCCCCCTCTTCCTCCTCTTCCTCCTCTTCCTCCTCTTCCTCCTCTTCCTCCTCTCCCCGCTCTTCCTCCCCTTCCTCCTCTTCCTCCTTTGCGCGTCTTCCTCGTTTTCCTTGTCTTCCTCGCCTTTGTCGTCTTCCTCCTGTTCCTCATCCGCATCTTCCTCCTCTTCCTCTTCTTTGCCCTTTTCTGCTTTTCTTTGTCTTTCTCCTCTTCGTTTTCCTCCTTTGCCTTCTCCTCCTGCTATTGCTACCATCATCATCACCATCACCGCCAACCCAACATCACCCCACTGTCTTCACTGCAGTTCCGGATGCCGCAAATACTGCTATGCTACCAGTACTACTTGTAATCTGCTACTGTTGCTGCTGCTGCTATGACCTTTCCCAAAAGTGGCCAAGTAACTCTGCAGGAGATGGCCAAAGGTGGCCAGCTGTGGCTCTCTCTCATTCACATGTGCACAAATATCCACTTACAGCTCTGTGATCTAGGCTTAGAGCTTCCATGCAGATTGGTCACATGGGAAGCAGCACACTCACACCCCACCTGCACGCTTGCTGAGGGAGGGGTTTTACTGGCCTCCACTGTCGCATACTGATTTTGACCCACCTGCTACACTAATCATGTCATCCGACCACACAGAGTATACAGGAGGAAACAGAGAAAGGGAATTGTAATTCGAGAGATGGTTAATGGAAGGCCCAAAATTCGGGTTTTTTTGCCACATCACCACACGCAATGTCGTCGAAAATTTCGTGAACAAACAATGCAGGCTCATAATACAAACATCAAAAAAACAAACAGGCAAAAAAAAAACGAAAAAGAAAACTATAAAATCGTATTCGGAGTAGCTTTTGGAGTTCGCCAAAAAATTCTCCGAATTTGGTGTTTTTGTCGATTTTTTCGTTACTGGTCAGAATACATCGAAATTGAATACAGATATACCCTAAAGCACATACATATCACACAAAATAAAAAACGAGAAAACAAGAAAAAAAGCAAAAACTCAGGGAAACATGGCATGCAGTGTGGTACTCAGTGCATTGAAGACTTGAGCTGCATCAGTTGACCACAAAATGTCACGTGCTGTGGAAAATGGATGGGCAGAATGTGCTTACGGGTCGGAGCCAACTGAGCAGTATTGTGTGCAATTTCAACTAAATGTGGCTGTGTTGTGGCATTTACTGACTGTCAGGATATTTTGAGGGGAGCAGCAGACGAGGTTCTTGCAGTTCTGAAAAACGACAAGTACAAGGATCCGGATAAGAAGAAAGAGATTGAGAGGCTCTTAAATACGATGACAAATGAGCGGTTTGCACAGGTGGTGGCCGTTGGAAAACTTATCAGTGATTATCAAGAAGGTGGGGAGGAGGGAGGGACAGCAGGCGAGGCATTAGATGATGACATTGGTGTAGCAGTGGAGTTTGAGGAAGATGAAGACGAAGAAGAGAGTGACTTCGATGAAGTGGTGAGTGCATGTTTGCCGATTTGGTAGCTTCTTGTCGAGTGCGTATTTGCCGATTGTGATGTTCAATCAACATTTGACTCTGTTATACCTTTTTATGATTGGGTGGCATCTGTGGCATCAGTGAGCCATGGGGTTTGCACACAGGTGATGTGGAAGTTTGGTCAACTTTACTGAGTCTGATTGATAATGTGGACAATGGTCCATTTTCTGGTCGCTGATCACTTCGCAGTCTCTGGCAGATTCTCGGGTCTCCTTTGTCTATGAGGAACTCTGAGGGAATGACCCGACCCAGGTAATCTGCCCAGTGGGTGAATGGTATGTTGCCCAGAATTGAGAATAAAAGACAGGTTCATGGGTTCAAAACATTTGAGTTCCGTTGGGACAGATCATTGCACAGGCCTAGTGACTACTGTCATCCTGCACAGGAATTTGTCTTAGGTCTCTGCATAAAGGGCTGGCAACCAAAAATTTATTCCCCAGTGAATGTAATCGTTGTTAGATTTGACAACATGGACATAGCTCAGTGAGCCCCGAGCCTATGGACCTGTAGAGACAGCTCAGTGGTCCCCGACCCTATGGACCTGTAATTGACAGTAATCATGGGATGACACAGTGCAAACTAGAATCTGAGCTGAACGCCTAGTTTGGGGAGCCTGTGGGACTTTGGGTCAATTGATTGCTGTATGAAACAAACTGCTTTCTGTACGATCTTAGCTTTCTGAGGCTCAAGGAGTCTTCTTGAAGGTTTTCTTTGGTTACCTTCTGCTTCTCTCTCCTCCAAAATCACTCTTGTTCTTCCACTTAATCCTGTTCTGCATTTGACTCGTCTGCTTCACTCTTTCCCGCTTACAGTTTTAATGTGATCTTTGCTTCTTCATATGTTAGCTGCACTCTACTTTGTATGCTGTTGGGATAGTTCATCCTCTCTCATTCTGTTCTGTAGTTTACTCTTCCCTTTTTTTGTTCGCTCCTATCCTGCATTTGGTTTCTTTAGTTCACTCTTCCTGTCTTTCATTCTCACACACCACTCAAATATACCACGGCTTCAGAGTTTTAGCAATCACTCGTCACTCACGGGAACTTACAAGCTGAGACGAGATGCAACACTTTGAAGTTTGCTCCAAACTTTAATATTACACAATAAGCCTATTGTGTTCAGCCACCAAGTCCAATCAGGTACGTCTCTCTCTCTCTCCTGTCTCTTATACACATCTAGATGTGTATAAGAGACAGGAGAGAGAGAGAGAGAGAGAGAGAGAGAGAGAGAGAGAGAGAAAGAGAGAGAGAGAAAGAGAGAGAGAGAGAGAGATCTCTCTCTCTCTCTCTCTCTCTCTCTCTCTCTCTCTCTCTCTCTCTCTCTCTGTGTAATGAACCCAGTCTGGAAGATACTCGTCAGATGTTGAAATATAAGCAATCTCAGTTCTCATAATGTCTCCAAATAAACGTGAATGCGATATCTGATACAATGTCTCGTTTCCAATAGACGAAGAGATTGGAGGGGGATTAGACTGATTAGGTGGAAGAGATAGTAGCCATCAATGACCACAAATTGCCCCAACATTTTCCCACTCCTTCTCCGGGCTTCCCCTCGCCTCCACGTCGGCAAGACAGTATCCAATAACGAGCCGGACAGATCCTGACCACATCGAAGTGCCACATGGCACAGTTCCCCCGTGAAGATGTTGAAGACGTTCAGCAGCACACAGTATCGACATCAACAGCAGGTAAGTATCCCGTTCCCTCTCAGTCATCCACAGATCCCGATCTCCCTCCTTGTCGCGTCCAACCAAGCAATGTAGACAGTGTGGCAAATGCCACGTCAGCAATGAGGACAGAGTGGCATGCGCCACATCAGCAATGTAGAAGACAGCGTGGCCTTGTGCCAGAGCAGGAAGTCGCCAGCGTGCAGCAGCAGTCTCACCGTGTCGTCCACTGTGCCAGCATCCAACCGGTGTCCAGGCAGCGTCAAGCCAGCATCCAGCCAGCGTCACAGGAGCATAGCAAGACTGAATGTTGACTCCCTGGTGGCCGGGCCTTATGTAGTGTTTGACGAGGCTTACCGGCCTCAGGTCTCCCATCCAACGGTGGCTCATATTGACTCACAGCCGAGGGCCTGGATCGCATACATTTGCAGACTTATACTTGGTCCGAATGCTGTCTTGGTACCTGCATACCAACAAGTGTGTGTGTCTGACCGGCGGCCTGGGCTGGGTAAATGCAGACGTGACTCTTGGGTCGCTGGGCAGTTGACCGAAGTCAACCGTCGGGTGCACAGGCCCTGGGCCAATTTGGGGGTTTCCTCCCCTTGGCCTTTGCCGCCTCAAACCGGGGTCGCTGCGTGTGGCCTTAGGGCCACTCCGGGGCATATCGAGCGGGTTATTGCATTCCTGCCGGCCCAAATTTCGAGTTCCATCGCAGAAATACATTAGCTTTTTCTTAACCCGCGTTCAGGAGCAGTAGGTAGTAGTTCTTTCTTACTAAACCGTCTAGCTTCAGATGGAGGTTGAGACTTGAACTTTGCCTTACATTGCTTCTGCGGTCTTCCTCTGCCACCTGTAGAGAACATAGATGGCCTGTTAGGAAACTCATCTCCTTCTACATATGGCAAAAGTTTAAATGCGTGAAAAACAAGATAAGTTTGAAGGTGTGGGGGTACATCAATTCGGTAGGAAGGTCCATCTGCATCCCCAATCACCTTGAGAACTTCCCAGGGTCCATAATAGACAGGCATCAGTTTCTGAGACACATTCTCTTCCAAGGAAAATTCTTTAGACTTCACCCATACAAGATCACCTTCTTGAAAGTGCGATGGTTGACGATGCTTGTTGACCTGTTCAATCATCTGTAGTTGGGCTTTCTGTAAATTTTCCTTAACTTTCTTTATGTTTTCTTCGTATAAAACTGCAAATTATCGAGTGCCTGGGGTTAACCTCTGAATTTGGTCACGGGTTAGAGCATTAATGGGACATCGAGGCTTCCAACCTTTATGCAGTGCATTTGTTCTTCCTGTAACTGTATTTATACTATTATTATATGCACTTGCAATTTTTGGCAAGTTCTCATCCCAATCTATCTGATCGGGTTGTACATACATGCGCAAAAGTTGTTGACACAGGTGATTCATTTGCTCAGTTTGGCCATTCGTTTCAAGGTGTCTACCTAACGACATGGTCAACCTAGTGCCTTAAACTTCCATCAACTTTTGCCGTTGTAGACCGGTAAACCGAACATCCCTGTCAGAGACGATGGTTTTCAAAATCCATATTCGAAAACCCATCGCATCTGGAACTTCTGGATGACCAGTTCTGTCCTAGCTTCGGTAGGCAAGGGAATGAACATTGCATACTTTGAGAATCTATCGACAATGACCATTACCTGACTATTGCCATTTCGGCTCTTAGTGAGGCTCATAAAGTCAATTGAGATTGACTCACCTGGCTCACTTGAAATTGGTAGAGGTCTTAGTAATCCCAATGGAGTCTCATGTGAAGGCTTATTCCTCTGACAAACAAGACATGGCCGCACATAGGTTAGCACATCTTCTTTCATCCCTTTCCATTCAAAGCGTTCTCTCATATCGGCATACCTCTTCTTAAAACCAAAGTGTCCTGCAATATCATGACATTCACCAATAATTGGATTTTTAATTTGTTCTTTGTGAGGAATACGCAGTCTTTCTTCGACCTCATCAATAAAGAAGAGTAGACCATCAATCATTCGATATTTGGGAAATAGTTCAAGGTTTCTATGTAGGGTCCCAATAATAAAACTCCATATCGGGTCATCCGCGTAACCCTTACGGATTTGTTCTTTTAGGTCATTCCCAATATCGAAATAGGAGACAATAGTTCCAAATAAATCAGCACGCCTGGACAATGCATCCGCAACCATATTAGACTTTCCTTTGACTGTCTTCAGTTCAAAGTAAAACGCGTCAATGAATGCGGACCATCTTACGAACTTGTCAGAGAGTCTAGATTGTGTCTTAATCCACTTCAGGGTAGAGTGGTCTGAATAGACAGTGAAGTGCCTCCTTAGCAAGTAGTGTTTCCATGTGTCCAGAAATTCCCTTTTGTAAGTGGAGTTAGCCACTTTATCAGATAGTAGTCTTCCAGACACAAACTCGATGGGTCTATATCCATTACTGTCGTCCTGTTGTAGCACAACCCAAACTTGCGTCAATCGTGACAACGAAAGGGAGAGAAGGATCAACAATCTTTAGCACAGGGTAGTGAGTCAGTGCATGTTTCAACTTCTTGAACGAGGACTCGGAATCTTTGTCCCACAACCACAATTTTTCTTTCTTCAGTAGTCTCTCATAGGAGTAGCTATCAAAGAGAAGTTTCTTACAAACTTCCTATAATAACTAGCAAGTACTATGGAAAGACCTGAGTTCTGTGATAGTCTTAGGTTGGGGCCAATCTTGAATTGTTGTTATTTTCTTCTCTTCGGACCTTAGTCCCTCTTCGTTTACTATATGCCCTAATTATAATACTTCAGGCTTAGCAAACTCGGACTTCCTAGGATTCAGTTTGAAGTTGTCTTCACACAACTTCTGTAGAACCATTCGTAGGTGTTTCTCGTGATCCTCAAATGTCTTGCTATACACGAGGATATCATCGAGGTAGACAACTAACGAACTGATCCATCTATTGACGAAACAATTCATTCGTAGACCTTTGAAAGATGGCAAGAGCATTAGTCAATCCGGAAGGCATAACCACGAACTCGTAGTGACGACACTTGGTTCGGAAGGCTGTTTTGTGTTGATCCTCAGGAGCCACCTTGATCTGGTGGCACCTTGATTTGAGATCAATCGTACCAAAGTACCTGCATCCCTGTAATTGGCCCAACAAGTCGTCAATGCGTGGAAGTGGTTCCGCGTTTTTGACAGTGACAACATTCAACCCACGATAGTCAATACATAATTTAAGTTCACCTTCCTTTTTGGGCACGAATAAGACAACATTCAACCCACGATAGTCAATACATAATCTAAG